CAGACACACAGACGCACAGACACACAGACACACACACAGACAACCTCTCGTCAATATGCGTTTTTTACATTGCATGGCTGCAAAAAACGCATAAAAACGATTTTGGAATTAACTTTTTTCCCATGAAAAAGTTTCAGGCTGTCTGACGATTCCCATTCCTACCCGCATGCATAGTCCGGTCTGTGTTTACAGCTAAGGAATGAAACATAGGCTGCATCGTAAAATATCACCTTACTACCACATCTGAACGATGAAAGACAGTTTACACCGTCAAATATCACCTTACGCATGACTTCTAAGTACAATCCCTCTGGTCTATTATTTCAAAAATTTGAAAAGCCTCAAAAACAGAGCCAAAAAAAAACTGCAAAAAAAAAAGCATTTTTCCGAAATAGATCATTGGAATTCGAGAAAAGAGCACAAATGCAACCGGAAAATTACTGACCTTGGCTCGGTTCAATGAACGTTTCACACATGCTAAACTCGGAGCATATTGTTTCATCAACTTCAGCACTACCACCATCACGTCCTTCCAGTGAACGTAATGCTTTATAAATAGCAAGAGCAAGATATCTTGCGTGTTCTACTGAAATCGAACGGTTATTAATAAGGGATGAAATATTGAAGAATCAAAAAGGAAGCAAAAAAATGAGGGTATGAATTAGAAAATTTGAAAAATTAGTAAAATTATCACAAAATTATTAAAATCAGTAGCATGTAAAAGGCACAGGGCAAGCCTGCTTTTGAGTACCATCTCTAAAAATAGCATCTTACACTAGATAAGCTGGCAGCACTATGTGTTTTTGTGAGAAGCCCTTCTGGAAGAGCAGCTGCAGAGCGATCAGTACTATTCTCTGTCATATAGCTGTCCTAAACGCGGACTTTCAAATATTCATAGGCGGATCTAGGGGGGCTTTCGTTCCCCTTATCCACCCCCCTCCCTTTCCCTTCTTCCGGCCAGCAGCACAGGCACCAGTACTGCAAAAGCCCGGGTCTAAAGCTAAAACTAAAGTAAACTAAAGCCTAAAGTAACCCTAAACTAAAGCCTAAAGTAACTCTTGTTACAACTCCATCCCTAGTTCTTGCATAATTCCTTTCTTATCCCCGTGGCTCCCTTCTCCGGGAGCCCAACTCTCTCAACCCCTCCCTCCTCCTGTTCCCCTCCCAAGGAATCCGCTCTGGATCAGCCTATGAAAATATCCATCTTCGATAGCTGGAGGCCGCACTAGCAAAATCATACATTCCCTGACCCCTTAGGCAAGTTGCATCACCCAGGCAAACAGACACAACAAAATTTTGCTTTTAATTTATGCAAAAAAAATGTTTTAATTTATGTTAAAAAAAGCATAAAGGGGATTCATGTCCGTTGTAAAACCCAAAAGTTGAAAGCAGTCTGATTTCTCCATATTCCCTCACTAGCTTTTTGTTTGTAATAATTTCGATCAACTGCAAGGATACGTTACAATTAGTGGGTACGTGAAGAACGAGGTGAAATGATTAAAACGACACGGCCAAGCACCAAGATCCAACATTCCAGGTGCAACTGGTAATTTTTAAGCTTCTATATTTACGCAGCTCAAATTCACTAAGCCCCGAGATTCAGCATTCCAGGTGCAGTTGGTAACTTTTAAGCTTCTACGCTTATGCTGCCCAAAGGAAGCTGTGTGCTCAAACCCAGCCATCAAGGGCTCATTCGAGCTAATTAAGAAGGTATTTGTAATCTTCGAAGAGAACCGCCCGCAATCCATTTTCTTTATCTGCCGCTAATACGCATTTAATACAGAAAATAAGGAATAAGGTTAAATGTCATACAGCAGAAGCAGTGTTTAGAAGATCTAGGAAAAAGTAAAAGGAGATAAAAGACAATCGAAATGACAATACGTAAAGTTTCGTATTTCCAAAAAAAAAAAAAATAAAATTAGCCATACTTGATGACCTTATTTGGGAATCAGGCGATAGCCCAGAAAGAAGAAAAAGGAGATAAAAGTCAGCCGAAATGACAAATATAAAGTTTTATATTTCCCAAAAAAAAAAGTAAAAGTAGTCATAATTGATGATCTTATTTGGAAACCAGGCGACAGCTCAGGAATAAGAAAAAGGAGATAAAAGTCAGTCGTCAAATAACAATACGTAAAATTTCGAATTTTAAAAAAAAAAAAGAAAAAAAGAGAAAATTAGCCATATTTGTTGACCTTATTTGGAAACCAAGCGAAAACAATTTGTGGGAAATGTCGCGAAAAAAGCATACCAGCACGCTCCACTGATATCAAATTTTCTGTGATAATGATACGATGAAATGACCAAGCAGCAGCTTCGCACTGTGCGCCCATGACAAGTATTCGATTGATCACCTCATCTGGACTCAAGCTCTCCTTGATGTAA